GCGTGGAGGAACATTCTCGCTCACGCTCATCTGAGACGTAAACCAAGATTTCCTCTGCTCACGACTACCATCATCAAGGTTCACATCTTCACCCATCCAAGCGAAGCTCTCTCGATTGGCGCTCACACCTGCGCGCTGGTCATCATCCAAGTCACTGTGCCAAAGCCTCATCAACTCAAAAACAAAACCAAGCCTACTCACACCCAAATCTGAACACATGGCCATGTCAGACAACGAAGCGCCCGCACCCAAGCCCGAGGGCGGTGAGCAGCTGAATATCAAGGTGAAGGATGGAGATGGCAACGAGGTCTTTTTCAAGGTGAAGCGCAACACCAAGTTGGGCAAACTTCGTCGTGCCTATGCCGATCGTATGGGCAAGCCAGAGAACACTGTCCGTTTCATTTTTGATGGACAACGTGTCCAGGATGATGATACTGCCGAGTCCGTGAGTGTGAGAGGCAGAGAGAAGATGTCTTTTGGGCCTAGCATCCGTTGTCAGCGAGTTGGGTGTACAGGAAGTTTCACCGCTCTCAGACGGAGGGGTGGGCAAAGAAGCGCCACCAGGTATGGACTGTGGCGCATACATCCCACTTGCCCCTCCATTGCCGCAACAGTCTGTCACTTTGATAAAACTGCGACATGGCGCTTTTCTCGCCACCGCGTCGGAGCAATTTGCTGACTTGATGCTCCTTGCGCTCTGCTCTTGCCTCATCCAGCTCGAGATCGAGGATCAAGATGAGATCGACGCCATGGTGGAGCAACTTGGTGGTCATTGCTAGCTCTGGCGCACGTGGACATGAAGGAATGATGCGCACTTCCCATCAATACTCTTCACCAATACGACACAGAAGTGCAGGGCATTCCATAGACCCGGAGGGCGAGTATGATGGGGTCTTCAGTCTGTCGAGCACCGATGGGCGCCAAATCAACCAGTCAGACACCTACAAGAGGCGTGGATGCCTTTCTTGCGCTTCAAGCCCATCCTCGAACGACTCGTAGCCATCACCAACAAGTCGTGCACCACAATCCTTACCATCAGAGTGCAACAACTCCACACACAGACTCGCCCTCGTCTCTGCACAAACTCTTCATCCCACACTTCTCTCTCTCTCGTCATTCGCCCTCGTCCCCTCCTTCAATGTACCATCACGCCCGCTCTCCCGCATTCTCACCAGCAATGTGAGATTTCATCGTGACGGCCGTCGTTCTGGTTCTTCGTGTGACGTGTGAACATTGGTCATCGTTTCCCTTGACCGCAAGTGACATGGCTCTTGGACAAGTGCACGATCGCAAGGAGTACAACGCTTTGCCGTTGACTGGTCACACACAGAACAGAGGCCGCACACTGCCTCTTCCACACGACCCAAACAAGATGCACAGGCTCGCGACTTGCAAGTTGCAGATGGTGGAGCAGACAGAGGCGCCCAGCACAGGTCGCGGAGCGCCTCCAATCAAGGAAATGCGGATTCAGAAGTTGGGCTACCCACAAGACCTACGTCCGCTTCCCTCATCTTCGCAGCAGCTCTCTCCTCCGCCGTTCTACCTTCTGGGTCCACGATGGCTACAGGTGTAGAGGCAGTGACGGTGGGTGTATTTGGAACTGTACCTCTCGGTGATTGAGACGGATTGGGCGCAGTCTTGAGGGAAAGGTTGCTCGGTGCACCAGGTGCACGCCTGACGCTGGGCAGTCGAGCAAAAGCGGCAGCCACAGCTGTGGCCGAGGACGGTGCAGCTGTCTTACCGCTCGCATTTGTAGCCGTCGGAGTGAAAGTGTCACCTTCTGCTGCGCTCGCTGGAGCGGCAGGAGGATAGGGCCAGCCCCAAACATCAGCGACGAACTTTGCAATGTCTGGCTGAGGTTGCCTGCTCTCGCTCTTCTTGATGAAAGGATGTCCCAGCATCTTGTTGGGTCCTGGACGCTTAGCAGAATCCTTTTCCAAACACCTATCTATAAAGTCTTTCAAAGCTTTGCTCCACTTGATTCCGGCCACCTCGTCATCTTGTAGCTCTGGCGTTGCCATGCTGAGCACGTACGACAGCAAATCGATGGGACCCAGCGGCGGTTCGCCTTCTGGAGGAAAGGGGAAGCGGTTGGAAGCCACCTCAAGTATGGTCAAGCCTAGGGACCACACATCGGAGCTGATGCTGTACGGCAGACCTTTGATGCGCTCAGGCTCAAGGGCGTCAAATAATGCGACTCGTCAGGCAGCAAGAAGCAACAGCGATCAGTCTGAGACAACCGCTCCACTCACTGCCATGTAATAGCTTGTACCCGTAAAAGTGCCTGCAATCGAGTTGATCAGCTCTCCAGACACGCCAAAGTCGCACAGTTTGAACTGGCCAC